TTAGCAGTAGCGAGTGGAGAAAAGTTAGCAGTAGCGCGGTAGTAGCAGTAGCGCACACAGGGGAAGCACGCTATAGCTATTAGCAGTAGCGAGCTTCCATTAAGCGTGCTGCTGCTACACTTGTGTAGCAGTAGCGCTGGTGAGCACGCGCTACTGCTACGTGTTAGCTGTAGCGCCTTATTAGTAGCGCCGGTCCCTGCACTACTGATACACCTAAAACCCGCGCTGCTGTTAGCCTTTTCCCTAGTAGTGTAAAAGGAGGCCTTAATATCCCTTAGTTTCCATTAAGACCCCGCTGCCACGGGAGGGTAGGACAAAAGATGTCATGCAAGTTCTTTTCCATAAGCACGTATGACTATATTCATAATACATGCCTACATTACATTGATGAATTGGAGCTAGTTCTGTGTCACCCTATATTATGAGTGTTACATGATGAACCGCATTCGGCATAATTCTCCACCACCAATCCAATACCTACGCGCTTTTCACATATTGTTCTTCGCTTATTAATTTCCCGTTGCTACTGTTACAATCACTACAAAACACCAAAAATATTACTTTCGTTACCGTTACCACTACTATCATATTAGTTTGCTACTAAATACTTTGCTGCAGATACTAAGTTATCCAGATGTGGTTGAATTGACAACTCAACTGTTAATACTTGAGAATATTCTTTGGCTCCCCTTGTGTCGAATCAATAAATTTGGGTTGAATACTCTACCCTCGAAAACTGTTGCGATCCCCTATACTTGTGGGTTATCAGGAATCCATCCCACAATGAGTTCTTCTTCTTCTTCCCCCGCTCTCCCCCTCCCCCCTCTCTCTCTCACCATTCCCAACTTCCTCCCTTCCGAGTCGTCGCCTCGCAGGCAAGCACGCATGCAACAAGAGCCCCCCAATCCCCTCCCGAATTCCTACAGGTTGAACAATGACCTAAAGAACCATCTCAATTCAGATTCAGATATTAACCGCCTTGTTCATCATTTTGAAAGAGCTGTGAAAGTGAAAAGAGACACTAATATAAATCCAGAGTACGAGTGTAGGAAGAGTCTACCAAAAATCAAAATCCCCACTCCAATGTTGCAACAAGTCAGTAGTCTTTATACTCCTGCTACATTTGAAGTTACAAACCGAATATGGGATGTCAATGGCAGCATGTGCTCATATACTACCCGGAGACAATGAATACATGATTAAGATTGGAAGGCGTGTTGATGGGAAATATGCAACATTTGAAGAAGAATACAAAGTTGTTGGAGACAATCACCAACAAACGGCTTCATGTAGTTGTGGGCAGTTCGAGAGAGTAGGAATTGCGTGTGCTCATGCTTTGAAAGTTCTTGATTTAATGAATATCAAGTTGTTTTCCTCTAGGGATGTAAAGCCCTGACTTCTCTCCGTAATGTTAGAGGATCCGGCTCCCTTCGGCAGGGACATGAGTGCTGGACGATGGTCTCTACCGATGTGGGATTAGCATGCCTTGCTTTTTTTGTTTGAGCACAGGCATGCCTTAATTAATTGGGTGGTGTAGATTTACGCGGGCCGGGCTGTCGATGGTGTCACAGGCCCGGCTGATCGGCCCAGGAACAACGGAGGTGTTAGGTAACTGACGAAGTTCCGTTCATATTCAGAGTCTGTCTATTTCTTCAGATACCGCTTCATGAATTAGGCCGCCACCCTCGCTCTGTATTGTTTGGATGTTGCTCAATGTATGAGATCTTATCTCTACTGTTTACCATCCAGTTGTCGTTATTGTGGTTACCTTCACTTACCTGTCTGGGTTAATTCCTGCCTATATAAACATCGGGTTGTGGCTAGGTTGCGTTTTATGCTTTTCATTCCCCATTTCAGCCGAAAGGCTAGAGCATAGACATATGCAATTACCTACTATAATTGACGGCCCTCTTGATTTCAATTGGATCTAACAAATTGGTAAGCAGAGCCGATGTTGGTCGGCGGTGATGTTCGATTCGGTGGTTCCCCTCCGTGGAGAGGTAAAATCACACCCAAATTCCACCCTATTTTCGTCGGCGGTGACACTTGACCCATGTTGGCGTTGGTGGCGACGACCGGGTCACGATGGCGTCGGTGGAGAAGATCGGATTCATGGTGGCGTTGGTGGAGAAGATCGGATTCATGATGGTGCTGGTGGCAGCGATTATTCGGGAGCAGACCAGCAAGGAGGATCTGTGCAACATCGGCGGCGGCAGGATCTGAACGGAGGGTCTGATTACCGGTACAGCGGCAATGAAATTCTTGATTAGAAAAGGAAGGTATGGCCTGTTGCTAGTAAATTATCTTGCATGTTTTAAGATGTTTGTCATGTAACTTGTAAAGTTTTGATATCGTGATCCCTCGATGGCACCCCATATCTATTTGTGCCTCTTGTCATGATGGTTCTTGTGTTTTCTAACTAGGTTGTGCCTTCTTTTGGATGTCCATTTTTTCTGGTTTTTGGCCTGGTTTTCCTTATAAATGGGGTCAACTTGTTTAGATTTTCGACCCGGTTTCCGTTATAAATTGGATCAATTTTTTTTGAATGAGATCAAATTCAGGTGGGGAGCTCTCCCCCGGTGACTGTTAAATTTTTTTTGAAGTCATGGACTGTACTTGCGAAATTAAACTGCAGCAGAGTTTCCCTTCCTTTTTTGCGTGCCGTCGACGTGTTAGGCGACAGGCTGGTCACGCTCATGACCAGGTCAGCGTGGGCATTGCCCCACGATCATTCCCACGATCGCCACTACTCCCATGTATGAGTCCGGGTTCCCTCCCGCATATATATGTACTCTGTATCCTCTTGTATGAATCAATGAAAGCACTCTTAAAGTTAACATGGTATCAGATACGGTTTAGATCCTCTCTTTCCTCTCCATGACGAACCCAGGCGGAACTCCTTCTCAGCCCGCCGCCGACAGCCACACCTCTCCGTCCACCGGCACCCAAACCTTACCTGCTCTCTCCACCTCCACCGCTCTCTCCATCCCCACCGCCCTCTCCTTCAGCGACACCATCACCGACATTACTCCGTTCATCCCCATCGTCCTCGATCTCAACAGCCACAACTACTATCACTGGCATCATCTTTTTGAAATTCATCTCGGGCGATGTTCTCTCCTCCATCATATCTCTAAAGCTGGCATGCTCGAGTGTCACCCCTCTCGCACCCCCGCAGACACTGGCTCTAAGCTTTCTTCTGCTGGTGACCCTGTCCCCGACCCCACCTACTACCGCAGTATTACCGGTGCTTTGCAATATATGACTCTCACTCGCCCCGATCTTGCCTACTCTGTTTAGCAAGCATGTCTCTTTATGCATGATCCCCGCCTGCCTCATCTCAACCACGTCAGACGTATTCTGCGCTATCTCAAGGGCACTCTCGATCATGGTCTCACAATCACTGCTTCCTCCCCCGCTTCTCTTACAGCATACTCTGATGCAGACTAGGCGGGGTGCCCAGATACTCGACGGTCTACCTCTGGTTACTGCGTGTACTTGGGTGATAACTTGGTTTCTTGGTCCTCGAAACGGCAGCTCACGGTCTCTCGATCTTCTGCTGAAGCTGAATATCGCTCGGTTGCTCATACTATGGCGGAAACAGTCTGGCTACGTCAGCTTCTTGGCGAGCTTCATCGACCCATTCGGCAGGCGACGATTGTTTTTTGTGATAATGTTTCAGCAGTGTACTTGTCTTGTAATCCTGTGCAGCACTGTAGAACCAAGCACATAGAGATTGACATACATTTTGTAAGGGAGAAGGTAGCTCTAGGTGAGGTCCGTGTTCTTCATGTTCCTACCAGTGCACAATTCGCGGATATCTTCACCAAGGGACTGCCACCAGCTTCGTTCTGCGACATCCGATCCAGTCTCAACGTCGTCGAACCCGCGCTGACACTGCGGGGGGGTGTTAGGCGACAGGCTGGTCACGCTCATGACCAGGTCAGCGTGGGCGTTGCCCCACGATCATTCCCACGATCGCCACTACTCCCATGTATGAGTCGGGACTCCCTCCCATATATATATATGTACTCTGTATCCTCTTGTATGAATCAATGAAAGCACTCTCAAAGTTAACACGACGGTCCCGGCCCAGGAGCTGAGGGCTGGGCTGAGATGGGCCGACGAAATCTCAGTTCACATTATCCTCGCTCGCACCGAGAAGACGGTGAAAAAAGAAAGAAAGAAAAAGAGAGAGCGAGGCCGACGGGGAATCCATCCCACAGTGAGCTGTTCTTCTCTCTTTCTCCCCTCCACTCCCGACTTCCTTCCCTTCCCTTCCGAGTCGTCGCCTCGCAGGCAGGCACAGCACGCCAATCCGCCCCCGGATTCCCCCCGCCGTCCGGCCGCCGCCGCCGCCGCCCCCCTCCTCCGGCCTCCGCCCCGCTCCCGGCCCAGGTACGCGCGCCGCGCCCAGTCCGCCCAATTTCTTCGCCCGCTGTGCTAGGGTTGCGCTTAGTATTTCCTTCTTGTCGGCCGCCGTCGTTCCGTCCATCCATCCGTTGGCCGGCCGGCGAGAGAGGCTGGCCTAGTTTTGGGGGCTCGGTCGCCGCTCCCGCTTGCTGGATTTTGGAGGCGATTGGTGGTCTCGGCAGGGGGAGGGCCGAATTAGCATATTTGTGCGAGACAGCCTACTTTTAACCTCAAGGGTTAGTTTAGTTTGGTTTAGGTGGGGAATGCGTAGGTAGGAGAGCTTCAACGCCGTGTCTTGTATCCGCCGCGTGGGTGAAGCTCAATTTGGTCTGTGTCAAACTCAAATATAGGTTATTTTTGCTGCTGCTGGATGGATGGATGGATTTTGGGGCCTCCTACCCTTGCCCCTCAGCCGTGCAATGGGCCAAATTTACCTTCTGCTGTGTAGGTTAGGTTATATGTGTTGCACATTTAGATGTAGGCAGTAATATACTCTGTCCTGGTTATATATGCAGGGACCATTTCATTGCTGGAGAACATATCATTTCCAGAAACCTTGCCATCAGTGTGTGTTGCATCTTTGAAAGATGATTGAGGGGGCAAGGTTCCACAATATGTTAGGTGGTGGTGGTGCTGGCATCGGCGGCGGCAGAGGGAAGCTGGAGAACGAGGGCAACGGCTTCTACGACATGCCGTATTACCACAAGGTCGGGGAGAGCTCCCACATGTCGGTGGACAGCGCGGACAACATGAACTCGATGAACTACGTCGGCGGCTCGGTCGCCATGTCGGTGGACAACAGCAGCGTGGCCTCCAACGAGTCCCGCACCGTCATGCTCAACCACCCGGGCCTCCGTGATGTTCCCACACCAAACTATTCGGTTTGCAACAGCGTCATCTATCCCAACAAGGCTGCCGCGTCTGTCCTCAAGGAGGATGCGTTGGCTCGGGTTTTGATGGACCCAACTCATCCAACGGAGATACTCACTAACTACGAGGCGTGGACCATTGATCTGGGGAAGCTGGACATGGGGGCTCCTTTTGCTCAGGGGGCCTTTGGGAAGCTGTATCGGGGAACGTATAATGGGGAAGATGTTGCCATTAAGCTGCTGGAGAAGCCTGAGAATGATCTAGAGAGAGCACAGTTGATGGAACAGCAGTTTGTGCAAGAAGTTATGATGCTTTCCACGTTGAGGCACCCAAATATAGTAAGGTTCATCGGGGCATGCAGGAAGTCGATTGTTTGGTGTATCATTACTGAATATGCAAAAGGTGGCTCTGTCAGGCAGTTCCTTGCCCGAAGGCAGACCAAGTCTGTGCCCCTGAGATTGGCAGTGAAACAGGCGCTTGATGTTGCCAGAGGAATGGCATATGTGCATGCCCTGGGATTTATTCACAGGGATCTGAAGTCAGATAACCTTCTAATTTCAGCAGACAAATCCATCAAGATTGCAGACTTTGGAGTTGCTCGAATCGAGGTAAAAACCGAGGGAATGACTCCAGAGACAGGAACCTACCGCTGGATGGCACCGTAAGTCAATTGCATCCACTACCGATGTTTTTATTTGTGCAAATATCTCTCAGATATGCTGATGTCTTTTGTGCTTACAGGGAGATGATCCAGCACAGGCCTTATGATCATAAGGTCGACGTGTATAGCTTTGGGATTGTGCTGTGGGAGCTCATGACCGGCATGCTCCCCTTCACAAACATGACAGCAGTTCAGGCCGCTTTTGCCGTGGTAAACAAGAACGCCCGCCCTGCAATCCCGCAAGATTGCCTGCCTGCTCTGAGCCACATCATGACGCGCTGCTGGGATGCAAACCCTGAAGTCCGCCCGTCATTCAACGAGGTCGTCACCATGCTCGAGGCTGCCGAGACGGACGTCGTTAGCAACGTCCGTAAGGCACGGTTCCGCTGCTGCATCTCCGAGCCCATGACCACCGACTGAGACTAGTGCCAGGATACAGAGTACCAGAAAATGAAAAAATGGGAAGAAGAACGAGGATGGGAAAGGAGGCGACACAATCTCGATGTACAGACCACGCTGATACACCTGGGCGTTGCGTGTGCCTGCCTATCCGAAGGTCTGATGGCTGCCCTGGGCTAAGCTAGGTTCTTCATTGCTGCTTTCTACTATCTTGTCTTAGTTGCATGGGTTGGAGTGATTGTTTGCCAAGTATGAATGATGGTACCTTGTATGTTTTCTGTTTTCTTGGAAGGATGCTATCTGGTATGTTAACAAGGAGCTATGGTATGTATTCTCCGCAAGCAAAGAGCTATCTTGTCTTGTGTTGATAGCAGCTGCATATTCTGAGTTGCCTTCTAGCTTTTGTGTAAATCTGTGTCCATTGCCTGAAGCGTCAGCCTACTGTTGGTCTAGATGTTTTGTTGATTTGAGATTTGAGAATTGTGATGACTGTGTGTACTGCCATTCTTTTCACCTCCAAATGCAGCCGATATTCTTATTAGATTCTTCTTCTTTCTGGATCAATTGTCTATGTCAAAAGCTCAAAGCTGAAATGTATGTGCTTGCTTGCTCACAACGATCCTTGGTTGGATTGATGTCTGCCTTCTTCAGTTCAGATTGCGGGGCTGCTGATCGATGGACCGCATCTCCATGTTGATCTGATCAAGGTGCAGTGCCAAATTCTTGAAAGGAAAGAGTGCAGCTGAACCTCTTGATCGACCAGATAATCAAAACTCCCTCTTACATTTGAGTGGCTCCTTTTGACAATACAGATTGAAGGTATGTTACTGAGCAACTGTCATGTGGGGTTTGGGGCTGAAGGTAGATAGCCATGCCATTTTGGACTTGAAGCGGACATTAACCATTAGCAAAAGAGGGAATGGATAACTTTGGATTTCATGTCTGGAGGATAACACACAGTTATAGCACATCTAGATGTGCTTTAGCAAAACTGTAACACATATTCTGGGCGATTCATTTGAGCGCATGGTCTTGCGGATTGCTTGTTCTTCAGCATCGTCAGTGTCCCAAGTCCTTCTCTCATAGCAGTCGCGGTTTCTTCTCTTCTGCAGTGGTGTGAGGCTTGCTAATTCAGCAGAGCGGTTCCTCATAGTCTGTGGTTGGTGTCTCTATGTTGAGCTTGGCGTGTATTCGCTTGTGCTGGTTTTCGCTTGGTTCTCCGTAATTAATTGAGCAACTCTCTTCTTCTTAATTAATAATAAAAAAAGCAAAAGCTTTTGCCTCGGTTAAAAAAACGAAAATGTTTCCTTTTTCAACTAATCCAAAATAAAATTTGTTCACCGGTGTTGGCCTATCTTTGTATTTCGCTCAATAACGGTGTGTTTGTGTATGGCTTGACTTTTCTTTGCCTTTATTGCATCTATTTTCCACGAGAAATTTGATGAAAAATAACAAATTTATTTTGCCTTTGGCAGAGTAACCAGTGTTCGCCGACTAGCCCGCGCTCGCAAAGAACTCACACACCCGCACTCTCTCTGATCACGATTAGAAATCGGAGTTGGGTTCCCATCCTAGCCAAGGGCAGCCCGGCGATCCCCGGGTTCGACACCCGCACGATGGCGGCGATGGCGTGCCCGCTCCCCGAGACGACCCACGGCATGACCTCCAAGCCCTTCTATGCGTCAGCCGCCGGCGACAGGCTCTTCGTCATGGCCTACCGGTATATCGAGGAACTCGGCCCGCGGCCGCCGCCCGACGACGACAAGCCCCCGCCCGCCTGGTCCTGGTCCGGGATCGACAACGACGCCGACCCACCCTTCTGCCCCCAGTACGTCACCTGCCACGCGCGGCACCCGGACGGGCGCACCGTGTTCGCGTCGGTCGTAGGGTGGCGGCCCGACATCGCGCAGGTCCGCCAGCGGAATCAGATCCTATGGATCAGCACGGTTAGATCTTTCCGGTACACCTACCTTCTCCTGGTCCAGATGAGGAACTCTCGGTGCCGGTGACAGTGACCGGTGATGGCAGTGAGTGGATGGTGGTGGTAGTGGAGCTTCCCGTGAGCACCGCGCTAACCCTAGATCGGTAGGGAATATCGGTGGGGTTTGCGGCATCAATTAACCTTGTGAGTCGTGCCCCGGCCCCCACCTCTGTTTATATAGCGCGGGTCACAGGGGCCCACCAACCATAATGGGTTGGGCGCCCCCGATCAGGGCGCATTGACCAAAGGCCTGGCAGGCCGTTGGCCCTGCATAGAGGAGATCAACCTAACATTCTCCCCCTTGATCTCAACTTTACTTTTAACTTTATACTTTCTAGTTTATTTGTTTCATCACATATTGGTACATAGAGCATGTTTCATCGTAACAGCTCAATTGCCGATAGAATCATACAGCTACAACATACGTTATGTTCAGAAACAAATTCTGTTCCTTTTGGGCCTATCCAGAAATCATAAGGCTTTCCCTTAAACCCATGCCGGCTAAGTGTTCCTTAAACACATTGGGTGGTAAGCCTTTCATTAGCGGATCCGCAAGCATATCCTTTGTCCTTATATGCTCGAGACTTATAGTTTGATCCTGGATTTTATCTTTCACAACATAATACCTTATCTCTATTGTTTTGGCAGCATTACTCGACTTGTTGCTGTGAGCGTAAAATACTGCGGGTTGGTTGTCGCAGTACATCTTTAGTGGTTTGTGAATACAATCTACCAGTTTCAAGTCGGATACAAATTTCTTTAGCCATAACGCCTGCCCCGTGGCTTCGAAGCATGCTATGAATTCTGCATACATCGTGGATGATGCAACTATCGACTGTTTGGAGCTTTTCCACGAAATAGCTCCCCAGCGAGAGTGAAGACGTATCCTAACGTGGATTTTCTATCATCTCTGTACCCCACAAAATCTGCGTCTGAATACCCTTTTATCTCTAGGGAATCACTTCTCCTGTATATTAGCATGTAGTCCTTCGTGCCTTGCGCATAACGCAATGCTTTCTTTACCATCTTCCAGTGCTCCATGCCTGGATTCTCTTGATATCTACCGAGTCCCCCGGTGATAAAAGCTAAGTCAGGGCGAGTGCACACTTGTGCATACTGTAAGCTGCCAACTGTCGAAGCATATGGTACTGCTTTTATTTGACCGATCTCGTACTGGTTCTTGGGACATTGGAATTTCCCAAAACTATCGCCCTTAACTATAGGAGCAGGTGTGGCTTTACTCGCATGCATATTATACTTTTTAAGAAACTTTTCTAAATATGCTTTCTGCGACAGTCCTAAAACTCCATTGTTCCTATCTCGATGAATTTCTAAGCCCAAAACATATGATGCTTCACCAAGATCTGTTATGTCAAAATTTGAGGATAAGAACTTCTTTGTTTCTTGTAGTAGACTAATATCACTGCTAGCAAGCAGGATATCATCCACATACAAGATCAGGAAAAAAAATCCCATTTTTAAACTTTGCATAAATGCAGTTATCCTCAATATTTTCTTTAAATCCAAAACTTTTAATCATTTGATTAAACTTTAGATACCACTGCCAAGAGGCTTGTCTTAATCCATAAATGGATTTCTTCAGGCGGCATCCCATATTTTTCTTGCCTTCCATGATAAAACCCGTAGGCTGTTTCATGTAGACATTTTCTTTTAAATCCCCATTGAGAAATGTCGTCTTAACATCCATTTGATGTAACTCTAGATCAAAATGAGCAACTAATGCCATTATGATTCTGAAGGAATCCTTACATGAGACGGGAGAAAATGTCTCATTGTAATCTATCCCTTCTCTTTGTGTAAATCCTTTTGCCACGAGTCGTGCTTTATACTTTTCTATATTCCCTTTAGATTCATACTTAATTTTGTAGACCCATTTACAGCCTACTGTTTTGCCTCCTTTAGGAATTTCCTCTAAGTCCCAAACATCTTTGGAACTCATCGATTTCATTGAGTCTTCCATTGCCTTCATCCACTTCAATGAATGAGGGCTTCTCATGGCTTCTTCATATGAGGTGGGATCTTTTTCCATATGGACTGTTTTTGTGTTATAAACTTTAAAGTCAGTAGAAATAGCTGACTTTCTTGGTCTTGTAGACCTTCTAAGGGCCTCAGTTTCTGGCACATTCTGTGCCTCAACTTCTGGCACTTCTTCTAAAATTTACTGCTGCACCTTCCTTTCATGCTCAACAACGGGTTCAGTCGGCTCCTGACAGACAGGTTTCGGGTCTACTCCCATAGTTGTCATGGGTGGAGTTGCAACTGGTAGTGAGAAAAATGGCTCTTGAATCATCGGATTAGGTGCATGCACCCTCTTCTCCTCAAGATCAATTTTCCGAGCTACCAAGCTCCCCCTCATCATTTCGTCCTCTAAGAAGACTGCATGTCTCGTTTCTACAAACTTTGTATATCTGTCTGGGTAGTAGAAACAAAAACCCTTTGATCTGTCTGGATAGCCAATGAAGTGGCAACTCACTATTTTGGGATCTAACTTTGCAATGTTTGGATTAACCATTTTGACCTCAGCAGGGCACCCCCACACCCTGAAGTGTTGTAGGGAGGGCACCCTTCCTGTCCATAGCTCGTACGGTGTTTTAGGCACCGACTTGCTTGGCACTCTATTGAGAATGTGAATGGCGGTTTTAAGCCTCTCCATCCATAATCCCAATGGCAAGTTGGAATAACTCATCATGCTGCGCACCGTATCCATAGGTGTACGGTTGCGCCTTTCAGCTACTCCATTCTTTTCTCCCATAGTGGGATACATTTAAAGCACATGAGTTATCATATCTTTCTCTTGCCAGAATTTCTCCTGCCATACGGGATTTTGACATAATATTATGTCAGCTTTACCTTGTTACGCAGGTATTTTCCCAGACTTTTCCCGCCATGCAGGTTTTATCATAATCATCTTTTTCCGCCATGCGGGTAAGTCCCTGTAAGGGAACATTGCCAGAATTGGCTCTTCTGATTGCATATTCAATCATCAAATTTAGGAATAAATCTGAATGGTCTTTGACAC